TGATTAGTCTCTATTTTTTTTATTGTGTTATGCGGATGGTAGCTATGCCGCCTTTGTCCCTTAATACCGACCTTCCTCCTTTTCTAACATCGCATTTGACCCCATTTATAGTGACTCCGTCTTCCGGTAAGGTTTAGAGAGACCAAAGGCTCATGATAATGAGATAAAAAATGAGGACGGTAAGTGTTAAAGGATAAAGAAAGACATGAAATTGAAATCCAAAAGACAAAACCCACAAAGAATAGGAACCTCATCGATAAATGAGGGGAATTTAATAATTAAAATATTAATTAAATGAAAAATAATATAAAATTAATAACAATATCCAAATGAAAAAAATTGAAACTATAAAACTATCCATATGCAAAAAATAAATATTTTAAAAATTTTGTGTTCACACATCGATAAATGAAGGGAATTTAACAATTAAAATATTAATTAAAATAAAAATTAATATAAAAATTAATAACAATATCCAGAAAAAAAATTGAAACTATAAAACTATCCATATGCATAAAAAATAAATATTTTAAAAATTGTGTTCATTTTATTATTTCCGAGTTACGTATGCATCAAAATACGAAGGCAAAACGCACAAGTTTCCTCTCCAAAGCCAAATCCCATAAAGTACAAACCAATTGTATTTCCAAATCCAATATATAAAACCGATCGCGCCTTAATTCTTTCATATTTATCTCTTATCTATCACACACAGTTTGCGATATGGTGTCCAGCGTAGACCGATCGGAGATAGCTTTCTTCGATCTGGAAACAACTATCCCAACCCGACCCGAACAGCCGTATGCCATCTTGGAATTTGGGTCGATATTAGTTTGCCCTAAGAAGCTCATTGAACTGGAGAGCTTCGAAACACTGGTTCGACCACATGATCTCTCCCTCATTTCCGCCTCCTCCGTTCGCGCCAACGGAATCACCGCCGACGCCGTCGTCTCCGCCCCAACCTTCTCAGATATTGCAGATAGGGTTTACGACATCTTACATGGTAAAATTGATATCCCCAATCAGCCAATCTCCCTTTATACTACAGAATTTTGTATAAAAGTGGTAACTGAATCGTGAATTGAATCTTTAACAGGAAGAGTATGGGCGGGTCACAATATATTGAGGTTTGATTGCGTGAGGTTAAGGGAGGCGTATGCGCAGATAAATCGGTCGCCGCCGGAACCCAAAGGAACCATTGATTCATTGGCGTTGCTGACACAGAGGTTTGGGAGGAGAGCCGGTGACATGAAGGTATGTTAGTTACTGATTCCCAGAATCTTGATGAAACCATCTTTAAAAATTGAATTTTCAGAAGCGTCGAAATTTGAATATAATAATTAGAAATTTTCATTGTTTTTTTTTTTTGGTTGAATTACAAAAATCCATTAAACGTACAAGAAACAATAATTTAACATGTAATAAAATGTTCCAAGTTATTAACTTTTACACGTGTCACGTTATGTGGCAAGTGACATGGCATTAAGGAACCCAATTAACATTTGTCGCTAATGATGTGATTATTTCAGATGGCCAGTCTGGCGGCTTATTTTGGGCTCGGACAGCAAAGTCACCGGTAATTTGCCTTTCCGTATATAAAAAAACTTAATTTAAAATACAAAATTTGTAAACTTTTTTTATATAAAAAAAAGCTTCATGTTCTTAATTATTCTGCTTCAATAATTACTTTCAGGAGTTTAGACGACGTTCGAATGAATTTTGAAGTCGTCAAGCATTGCGCAACAGTTTTATTCTTGGTAATTTCTCATGGAATTTAAACATCTCCATTCCTTTTTCTATTATTATCTCCCTCTTCAATACAAATTCACTCCAACATTCGAATCACACAGGAATCCGCAAATCCAGGGGAACAAATTCCAATTCCAATTCCATCAAACGAAGCGATGGTGGAAGATTCTTCTTCCACCACACAATCAGACGCATTCACCCCACAAACCGAATTCCTCCCCTCTAATGAAGTTTCCATGGCTTCAATCACTGTATCATCATCATCCTCCGTTTCTCCCTATTTTCACGGGTCCCACAAAATACAAATCCTTCACAGAGACATCCCGTTACAGATCCGATGTGATTCCATGAGAATACGGTTTGGATTAAGCACAAAATATCTCGATCATGCTGGAAGACCTCGCTTAAGTTTTGTGGTTGATGCAAATTCTTCAAATCTATGTGATCTACTTAACACATGTGATAATATTACTAAGAGATTCATGGATTCTGATCGCAATTCTGAATGGAGACCTCTTGTTAGTAGAAAACCCGGGTTTTTTGACTCACCCACCATTAGATTACAGTAAGTTTGGTGTTTTTTATTAAAAAAATAAAAAATATGGATAGATTTGAATTATTAGTATGAGTAATTTTTAATTTTTGTACAGCTTAAGGACTGAAGATGGAGATGGTAGTGGGTGGATGACAGAGATATACAAGAAGGAGTCGTCATCATTATCTTCTTTGTCTATACCACAACTGGTTACAAGTAGTAGGTATGACGTGGCAGAATTGGATTGGTTGTTTCGTCCAGGTGGCTTTGTGGATGCTTACTTGTGTTTGGATCCGTATAATTATCAACAAAATGCTGGGATCCGTTTAGTGGCTAAGAAGTTAGTTGTTCATTACTAAATACTAATAATCTTAGGATTACTATATCTTTTGTTGTATATTTGTATTTATATATGGTCAAGACTTTTGTTGTCACTAGAGTTTTATGTAAATACATAAGCAAAGCATAAAAATTAACAGAAAAAGCGAGAGTAGCTTTGTATTTTCATGATTTGTTTATTATAGCATCTTATCTTCGTTTCATTTCTTTCTGTAACAACATTATGACTTTATTCGTCTTTCTGTAACAACATTATGACTTTATTCGTTGGGAAAATGACTTGTAAGGGTAACGGAGTATTAAACTTGTACAAAAAATACCATTGAATTTTTTTTTATACACATATCACCAATCAACTATAGCTTTTGTACACATATGATTATTAAACTTCACATTTGTTCAAAAACTATCATTATATTACCGGTAATAGTAGGTCACCAGCCACGTAACATGTTATGTGGCTGCTGACGTGGATTTTATTGTATAGTATGTACATATTATACCATTAAACTATTTTTGTACACATTATACCATAAAACTTTTTTTTGTGTACATTTTACCATTAAAATTTTTGAACACATTTTACCGTTAATGTTATATAATTTATTCAAAAAATATCATTTCAAAAAATACATATTTTTACATAAAATGGATTTTCCATCATCTATTGTGACTCCCTGATTTTGTAAGGTTTAGGGGAAACGGTTTATTTTTTTACAATGATACTAAGAACTTTCTTTTACAATTACATTGTGAATTTATGTTGGTCATACATCAATTGAAACCCACAAGGTTTGAACTTGAGACTTTTATCTGGAACGGGGAAGAAATACTCAGTTGTTCATTATTTTAGCTAATATCCAGTAAACATCTTTTTATAAATCATTTTTTTAGGAAACTACGTTTGAGGCACATTTATAAACTCATGAAACATTTTGTACATGTTACCTTATTATAATCCCCCCTCTTCTTGATTATGGTTGATGATTAAAAAAGTGCATTGAAATTATGTCGTTGTTTACGGATAGGAAAATAACTTATAATGATAAGTTTACTAAAATTTAGAAAATCAGTAAAATCCACATCAGGTATGGGAAACCTACTTTTATGTAATGATATGTATTTTTTGAAATGATATTTTTTCAATAAATTATATAACATTAATGGTAAAATGTGTACAAAAAAAATTTAATGGTATAATGTGTACAAAAAATAGTTTAATGGTATACTGTGTACATACTAAACAGTAAAATCCACGTCAGCAGCCACATGACATGCCACGTGGCATGCTACGTGACTAATGACCTATTATTATCGGTAATATAATGATATTTTTTGAACAAAGGTAAAGTTTAATGGTCATATATGTAAAAAAGCTATAGTTGATTGGTGATATGTATACAAAAAAAAGTTCAATGGTATTTTTTTGTACAAATCTAATACTTTATTACCCTTACAAATCATTTTCCCTTATTCGTTTTTCCATTTTAATGGTATTTTCTGTATATAAGTGGAACTTTGTTAGGCAATCTACATATGACACTCATCTTTCAAAATGAACTCCACCGACACATCATCAACTAATTTATACCTTTTAAAATATAAATTTGATTTGATTACAATTAATAATGTAATTATTTTATATTATAATACATAATACACATATGGGAAAAATGAATATACCCTTAAGGGTATATAAGTTTAGGTATCCAAACACATCATAATACGTCGTTTTGTTTGATATATTCATTATAATGTTTTTAAACTTCAACCCCCAATGTTATTTACTTTCAATATTTTCAAATTTTTACTATTATCTTTCTCTTTTATCACATCTTTTTGTCGAACACCTACTAGGTTTTATATATTGTCGTTGAAAAAGAAAATTATTTAAGATAAAGATAAATATGTAATTTATACAAATCATGGAAGTAAATTAAATTAGAAGTTAAATTACATGAATATTGTACAATTAGAATGTATTATATGATATAAAACGATGTAATATAACCTAAACTTATATATTATATTCACTTTTTCCATACACATACATGAATAAAGCCCTCGATTTTACTCGAGCATCAAAACACAAGCTCAAATTACTATGATTCGAAGTGACTGAATGTCAAAATACAGGGTTGAAATTGAAACATTTCTGAATCTCACGTTACCAGTCGGCTACGCTACGTGAATTGCCGATCTCCTGTTCTCCGCCGGACTGGTAAGCAAGCGGTAGCCGTCGCCGATAACATGTTGCCGACCATTGGTTCCTCTTTTTAACTCCTCCATCCATCGTCACACATATAGGTATTTATTTCAAAATCCCTTTCTCTTTGTCTGTTATAGTTAACTACAGTCATTAGCTTCTTGATTCGATATGTCGATTCCTTTTGTCTCTCGATCCCTCTCATCATCACTCCGAACCAAAAACCCTAGTTTTTCCTTCGCGACTCGTGCACTTACAAATCCAGTGGAAAAATATTGGACGCATTTACAGAGTAATGATCCAAACATCGAAAAAGCCCTAACACGAGTTGGAGCTAAATTGGATCCTTCTTGCGTGAAGGAGTTGATAACGAGATGCAGTTCTACCAGTAAACATCCTACTTCAGGTCTTAGATTCTTCATCTGGGCTGGGATTCAACGCGAGTATCGACACAACTCATACATGTATAACATTGCTTGTAAAGCATTCAAGATTAATCAAAACCCTAACGTGATTAAAGATGTTATCGAGGCTTACACTATTGATCATCCTGTAGTAAATGTTAAAGCTTTCAAGGTTGTTTTGAATCTATGTAAAGAGGCTAGGCTTGCGAATGAGGGCTTATGGGTGTTGAAGAAGATGAAAGACTTCAACTGTAAACCGGATACAACAGCTTATAATCTCGTGATTAGGTTATTCTGTGAAAAGGGTAAGATGGATGAAGCCTTAATGTTAATGGAGGAGATGAGTCTGATCGATCTTTATCCTGATATGGTGACATTTGTCACAATGATCAAAGGTTTTTGTGATTTGGGTAGAATCCAAGATGCTGACAGATTGTTCAAGATTGTAAACCAACAAGGATTACCTCCAAATGTTGTTGCATATTCTGCACTTCTTGATGGGGTTTGCAAAGCTGGTGATTTAGAAAGAGGGTTAGAGCTATTAGATGAAATGGAAAAGAAAAGTGGGAGTTGTTCTCCAACTGTAGTCACTTACACATCTATAATCAAAAGCTTCTGTGAAAAAGGTAAATCAATGGAGGCATTCACCATTTTAGATCGAATGGAAGCTTGTGGTTGTGCACCAAATAGGGTCACAATCAGTACCTTTATCAATGGCCTTATCAAGGAGGATAGAGTAGATGAAGCTTATAAGTTGATTGATAAAGTTGTAGCTAAAGGAAGTGTTTCAAAAAGTGAATGCTATAGCTCTCTTGTGGTGACATTTTTCAGATGTGGAAAATTTGAAGAAGGTGAGAAGGTGTTTAGGTGGATGTTGGGTGGTGGTTTGAAGCCAGATGGGGTGGCGTGTAGTGTTTTGTTGAAGAAGATGTGTTTAAAGGAAGAACGGGTGTTGGAAGGTTTTGAGTTGTATAATGAGATTGAGAAATTAGGGTTTGTGATTTCGATTGATTCAGAGATTTATTCTATCTTGATGGATGGGCTTTGTAGGAAAAGGTGTTTGTTGGAAGCTTCAAAGCTTGCTAGGTTTATGATTCAGAAAGGCATCCAATTGAAAGGTAGTTATTCAAAGAGTGTAGTTGAATATTTAAAGAATGCTGGAGAAATGGAACTAGTGTCTCATATTATATAAGGCAAATGGTGGTTGAATAAGGTATCAATGAAAAAGAGGTTTCTTGTTGGTGTTAGATTTTTTAGTTATATTGTCCATGAAGCACAAATTAGCATATGGAAAATTGTTGTTAGCTTATATATTTTATTAAAAAGTCACATCTTTTTTTGAATTGAGAATACTAGTAAATTTAATCTTGAAATATCATCCATCAAAAATTCGGTCATATAAAATTATTATGTCATTTGCTCATTATTCGTACTCAATTAGCAAATTCTTCCAAAACAAATACATCTTTTGATAATATTATTTTACCAACATGTTCAAGCGTTATTATAATACAACAAACTCTCTTTTAAAGGATTACTATAGATTCACGAAATGTGGTGTTAAATTGAGCAAGTGACATGTACAATACTCACACAACATACTTCATTTTGTTCCACTTAATGTTTGGATCATGCACCTTGTACTCTACACTCACTTCGAGCTCGGTTTCATCTTCATGTGTTCATGTTCTTCTTTGTAGACATCATCAACTCTATCTTCATCCTCCACTATGTATTATGTGTTCTTTAACATACTATAACCACATAACATGTTAAAGAATTGAGTCGTTAGGCTGGTGGGTATCACCATGTCATTCTTTATACCACTTCATATTTGTTAGGAAATAGTTACCACACACAACACCATTTTAATTCCATGTCACATTTTTTTAATAAATAAACAAAATAATTTTATAAAACATAGCATTTAAACAAATTTTAGTTGAGAATAAATTGAAGGTTCAAGCTTCGTCCGAGAGAAAAAAAAAAGTTAAAAATAAATACACAAATATGTGTTTTTGTTATTCTAATTTAAAAAACCTAACCCCATAAAATTAATACTCCATAAAACTAAGAATTATAATAATAAAGGAATTAAAATTAACCATTATATGTAGTTTAGATCTAAATAGTTTATAGCCCAATAGTATCACATGTTGTGGATTGTGTAACTTTCCAAATGGTTTACAAAGAAGTAAATTTTTGAAATAGGTTTAAGAGGTGTTTGGAATAGTTTTTCAAAAGAGCTTATTGGCTTTTTGAAAAGTTTAGTAAATCAAAAAAAAGTGTTTGGCAAACTCATAAGTATTTTTCAGAATAATATTTCCACAAGTTTTAAAAAACACTTTTTAATAAGCATGTAAAACTTAGCTTTTTGAAACTGTTTATGGTTTTTCAATCAAAATAATTTTAAAAAACACTTTATAAGCCAAACATTTTTTAACTTAGTGAGTATTTGGGAAAACTTTTTAAATGAGCTTATTAGCTTTTTAATAAGCATGTAAAAAAAATGTTTGTATATTTAAAAAGTGGTTTTTAAAATAGTTTTTTAAATAGGAAAAAATAAAGCTTTTAAAAAAATAAAAATTCTTAACTTTTTAGTTTTTTAGTCATTTTACTTTTAAAAAACAGTTTTCTTATCCAAACACTTCTTAAAAAACAGTTTTCCCTAAAAGCCATAAGCTAAAAAACATTTTTCTTAAATATCACTTTTGTCATAAAAAACTAACCCAACACACACCTTTATTGATTTATCCGCTTTTTCATTATGAAAGTTTATCCAAACACTTTTTAAAAGGTTCATTTTATCACCACTATAAACAAATAAACGCTATAAACAAATAAACACTTTTTATTTTATGAAAGTTCATTCTATCACCACTATAAACAAATAAACATTTTAGAGCTCATCAACTATCCCAAAAAGTGATGTTTGTTAGCGGGTCCCACAAAAAAAAGGTTTAGTAATTCTTTAAAATTAATCATTTATCTAAAGTTTAGATCAAAATAAAGTAAAAGTTTTTTAAAATATAGGCGATAAAACTTAAATTACTCTAGCAAAATAAATAAAACAAAAACAAAATTGAGATAGTCAAACAAACCAGATGTTGAAATAATCAAACAAACCAGATGTCTTCTTCACCCGCGCAGATCCGTTGCCAACGGCCAACCAGATGACTCTGCCATTTCAAACACTCAAAAACGATTTTCTTAGTCAATAATCAAAATAGAACACTGGAATCGACTATGGAGATGATCATTACGCACACATACCTTCCGATTTCAACTAATTTCAACTTCAACAACTCCAACTGTAAGCTTCTTGCATGCTACAATGGCGTTACAAACTAAAGCATTTGAAAACCCTCTTCTTCTACTCACACACTCTCTCAAATCATAGACTGAGATTGACGTTTTGGTGACTCGAGTGAATTGCGTAACCTGCAAAAGAGGGTTACCTGTTGTTGGTAACCGGATAAAAGTATAAAACTAACAAAATGAAAAGTCTCCTCAATTATTATGGCAAATAAAGATAAAAAAATCAATAAAACTAATAAAATGAAAAGTCTACTCTTGAAGATGACGGAATCGAATTCGCAGTTGGAGTTTAAAATCGAATTCAATAGTTCTCTGTGATCGGATTGGTATTATTTATTGTTGGGTGTAAATTAGAAACGACAACTGGATAAGTGCGAGATCGATGTAGGTATTACAGAGTCAACATTTTTGGGTTGAAGAAATTGATTATACAAGAGTCAGGATTTTCGATCCGGTGGAAGCGTAGATGGCGCTGTTCGAACGCTTCTTTAATCGCCTCGTTGAGATCTCCGAAAGGGTTTATGGTACATTTCTAATTTCGCTTATCTTCTAGAATCTCGAAACCCATAGAAGATAGAGTTCACCATTTTAGCTGTCGACATTTCTGTGTCAAACTTGTTTCTTCTAGAGTTGAAATTTGGTTTAGGTCCAAAAAATTTCGAACTTTTGATTGACAAAACTTATTTGCAGTTTTTGATTGCTGCTTCTCTAGTGAAGTAATGGAAGAAGATGAATACAAGATGTACATGGGTGGCATTGTTGCAGAACTCCAAGACTACTACTATCCTGATTCATCGTTCATGGTTTTCAACTTTAGAGAAGGTGACAAAAGGACCCAAATTTCAGACATATTATCTCAATACGACATGATAGTAATTGAGTACCCTAGACAATATGAAGGGTGCCCAATGTTACCATTAGAAATGATTAATCGCTTTCTTCAATCCAGTGAAATCTGGTTATCATTAGCAGAACAAAATGTGGTCTTAATGCACTGTGAAAGAGGAGGGTGGCCTATTCTTGCTGTTATGCTTGCAGCTCTTCTTCTATCTCGTAAACAATACAATGGTGAACAGAAGACTCTTGATATGGTATACAAACAAGCCCCTAAAGAGCTTCTTCATCTTTTAACACCTTTAAATCCTCAGCCTTCACAGTTGAGGTATCTTCAGTATATATCAAGGACAAATTTGGGTTTTGATTGGCGGCCTGCAGACACACCATTAGCTTTGGATTGTATCATACTTCGTGTCCTTCCCATTTTTGGTGAAAAGGGTTGTCGACCTGTTGTTCGTGTATATGGTCAAGATTCATCTTCAACAACACCCAATAGAAGTTCTAAGCTTTTGTTTTCATCTTCAAAAATCAAAAAACAAGCGCGTTATTATCAACCAGAAGAGTGTGAGCTTGTGAAGATAGATATTCATCATCGTGTACAAGGTGATGTTGTTCTTGAATGCATACATTTGGATCATGTAAGAGAGGAAATTATGTTTAGAGTAATGTTCCATACAACGTTTATACGAGGTAATGTGCTTATGTTGAATCGTGATGAAGTTGATGTTATGTGGGATTCAAGAGACCAGATGCCCAAGAACTTTAAAGCAGAGGTAGGAAAGTCGAAAACTTAGATTTTTTTTTTTAGTATTTTTATATTATTTGAGAAGTGAAAGAAGTGGAATGCGTATGCTCATATATATATATATATATATATATATATATATATATATATATACATACATGATGTATTATCAGGTGATTTTTTCGGATGCTGATGCTCTATCATCTATGATCAACACGGAAGGAGAATTTGAAGATGGGAATGAGATAGAAAGTCCTTCACCTGAAGAATTTTATGATGCGGAAGAGTTTTTTAGTAATCTAGTTGATGGGGCAGATGTAAAAGGGGAATCTCCTCCACCGCTACCCCCACCCACACCACCACCCCCACCTTCAATGTATACAACTTCATCTCCTAGTTATACTGCCCCATTACCGCCACCACCACCTCCCCCTATGGATGACATATGGAACCCCATCTCCATCGCTTTATGCAACACATGGACCTCCACCCCCACCTCCACCTCCACCACCAACTCATGGAGTCCCTACCCCACCTCCTCCTCCAATGCGTGGACCCCCACCATCCTCACCTCCACCACCAATGTATGGAAACCTACCTCTACCTCCTCCACCTCCATTCCAAGGAGCACCACCTCCACCTCCTCCTCCTCCACCAATGACTGGTGGTGGTCTACCACACGACCTCCACAAATGCAGGGACCACCGCCTCCACCACCTCCACCCCTTCCACCTGGAGGCCGTGCGCTTGAACCACCACCTCCACCCCTTCCACCTGGAGGCCATGTGCCTGGACCACCACCTCCACCCCTTCCATCTGGAGTTGCACGAGGCCGTGTAACTGGACCACCAAGACCTCCAGGAGTTGGGCCACCACCATCTCCACCCCCAACTCTAATGTATACAGCTTCATCTCCTAGTTACAGTGCCCCATTATCGCCACCTTCTCCACCGCCTAGGTATGAAGCTCTACCTCCGCCACCCCTGCCCCCACTTCCACTCCCACCCCTACCCCCAATGTATGGAAGAGCCCCACCTCCATCTCCATCTCCACCACTACCTTTCTTACGAGGTACTACACCACCACCACTACCACCACCTCTTCCTCCAAAGTATGATTCCCCATCACCACCACAGCCACCCCTATCTCCTTCGCGAAGTGCTCCATTCCTACATCCTCCTCCACCACCTCCCCCTATGGATGACATATGGAACTCCATCTCCACCGCTTTATGCAACATGTGGACCTCCACCCCCACCTCCATCTCTACCACCAACCCATGGAGTCCATAT